CTTTATCAAATTGTGTGAACTGAATTTGCTAGGAAATTGGAATCATAGGGCAGAATAATCTTTACATATATAAATACAGAAGAGTTATTTTCTTTACAAATGTCTGTTTTGTTCAAACATGCATAAAAATGCCTGATATTTTCCAAAATTGACAATGGGTTTGTTAAGGGATTATTTTGCATATTAAAATATATACATTCATACTTATATTTTGTAATTTTCCATAATGGAAATATGTTATTTGTGTAATACAAAGGAATAATATCATCCACTTCATGGGTATTTTACTTGTAGTATCACAACTCCAAATCATGTTGGCAATTACCAGGAAAACTATAACCATACTCTATGTCTAACACTTGACTGGACAGTAAGAAAACTGGCAATATTAAGAAAAAAAACTGAATTTATTAAGGATTCATTTAGAAGTGGGAGAGGGATGAGGGTGATTCTTACAGTATATAAGGGGGAAAGACCAGTTTTCTTAGAGGAGACTTCTTAAGACCTAAGAAACAGCCATCCTACTAAGATGTGTTTCTAATAAAGAAAATGCTTTTTAAAAGAATTGTCCCTTTTAATATGTAGAAAAGAAAATCTTTGGAGAGATTAAAAATCTTGAAACTTCTCTAGATTTATTAAAAGTACAAATCATAATTAATTCATATTTGAAAGAAAAAACTCTTAAACGTGGTAGAAAAGCAAACAACCACTATCCTGAGTTACTTTCTTACAAATAGTTAACGCTGTCCTTCAAAAACCATTGAAGAACAAATGAAAAAAAATATTGTAGACGACGCAGGTGAATTGTGACTGTGCCTATGACGGGCATCGGAAGTCGAGAGAACTCAACAGTGAACCTGCTTTAACAGAAGCACTTGCGTGTCTAGAGGCGTTGGACCTTAAACTTGTCCCTCACCTTAGGAATTTTTCTAACCATGTTGATCTAAACATTTCTGAATGTTGTCTCTTGGAATTGCATTCAGATCTAGGTTACGAATTAATAACATGGAAAAATCAATCTCTTCATAATTTTTTAGCCTTGTCATGTCATTTTTTCATGTCGCTTTTGGCCACTAGAGGGTGGATTCTACCTATGAGCCATACCAGCTGAAACAGAAAATGTTTCTCGGGAGTTTAACAAAAGAGGAGCAATTAAAGATGACTTTTTACATGAGGAGATATATGGCACAAAGGGATCCAGATCATTCTGCTGGATTACATTTACAGAAAAAAATATCATTCCCTTTCATAATAAAACTTAACATTCAAACATTTCTTTACAATTTACAAACAAATTCACCAATCTGTCCTCTAAACATTTGGCATCTACAGTTAAAATTATCCATTATAAAATGGCCTATTGTTCTTATTGACTCTATAAAAATTATTTTTTAAATGTAAATGCTCGTAACACCATGATGAAAACGCCACGATTAAAGACTAAGTACAATGACAAACTCATATTTTACAACTTGATTTTAAAGATCATTCTGCTATGTGTGTTTACATATAAACAATAAGTAAAACATTTTAATGAAATAAACCCATNACTTCTCTAGATTTATTAAAAGTACAAATCATAATTAATTCATATTTGAAAGAAAAAACTCCTAAACGTGGTAGAAAAGCAAACAACCACTATCCTGAGTTACTTTCTTACAAATAGTTAACGCTGTCCTTCAAAAACCATTGAAGGACAAATGAAAAAAAATATTGTAGACGACGCAGGTGAATTGTGACTGTGCCTATGACGGGCATCGGAAGTCGAGAGAACTCAACAGTGAACCTGCTTTAACAGAAGCACTTGTGTGTCTAGAGGCGTTTGACCTTAAACTTGTCCCTCACCTTAGGAATTTTTCTAACCATGTTGATCTAAACATTTCTGAATGTTGTCTCTTGGAATTGCATTCAGATCTAGGTTACGAATTAATAACATGGAAAAATCAATCTCTTCATAATTTTTTAATTCAGATCTAGGTTACGAATTAATAACATGGAAAAATCAATCTCTTCATAATTTTTTAGCCTTGTCATGTCATTTTTTCATGTCGCTTTTGGCCACTAGAGGGTGGATTCTACCTATGATCTATACCAGCTGAAACAGAAAATGTTTTTCAGGAGTTTAACAAAAGAGGAGCAATTAAAGATGATTTTTTACGTGAGGAGATATATGGCACAAGGGGATGCAGATCATTCTGCTGGATTATATTTACAGAAAAAAATATAATTCCCTTTCATAATAAATCTTAACGTTACAGAAAAAAATATCATTCCCTTTCATAATAAAACTTAACATTCAAACATTTCTTTACAATTTACAAACAAATTCACCAATCTGTCCTCTAAACATTTGGCATCTACAGTTAAAATTATCCATTATAAAATGGCCTATCGTTCTTATTGACTCTATAAAAATTATTTTTTTAAATGTAAATGCTTGTAACACCATGATGAAAACGCCACGATTAAAGACTAAGTACAATGACAAACTCATATTTTATAACTTGATTTTAAAGATTATTCTGCTATGTGTGTTTACATATAAACAATAAGTAAAACATTT